CAGGGAGAAGGAACATGGCCAGAGGGGTTTCTTCGATATCGACGCGTCGCCACATATTTCGATATTGATTGCAAACTTAGAATCCAGCGGGCCGACTGGTTGGAATCTCTACCGCGGAGTGACCTTGGCACGGATGCGCTACTCTACTTTCGTTGAAAGACCGTTTTCGCCTTCTCGGCCGGCGCGGTAACCCCACCGCGCTCTGAATAGCGACTTCCGAGCGTTCCTTTGGTGGTCAGCTCGCTGAATTTTTCAACATCGTCGACCTTCGGTCTCGAGTCCAATTTTTTGTTTCTTCTTCCTACTTCCTTTTCTTCCTTTTCTCTTCTTTCGCTCTTTTAGAGCCGCTTTACACGTTACATTTAGTGAATGTTATATATACTTAGAGTATATATACTTAGTATTGCGCTATAGAAGAGGAAAGAGAGAGAGAGAGAGATAGGGATAGAGAGAAATTGGTCGATGATTGGATAGAAATTGCGAGTCAAAATAGAGAGTGGAAAAGAGCGGTTCGCTCAAATATAGTAGGTGGCCAAGTTTCGATAGCGTGTTTCCCTGATTTTGATGAAAACGGGTCACGTGAAAATTGTGGATTTGCAGAATTAGTTTTTCTATCTCGATATTTCTAAACGTTATATTACGAAATATTTCTTTTTACTTTTCTCTTGATACTTTCTCTTTTTTTGCGATATAAAAAAAAAAAGATTATCAAAATGCAAATAACGCATAAGTAATTCCTAGAAAGAGGAACTATTTTTATTATTAATCATTATTTCAATCAAGGGAAAAACTAGCCAGAAAGATATAAAAACTTTTATGATACGCCATCAAAATTTTTTTACCGATTTGGTCACTCGATACACACGACAATATATATATTTATATGAACGCCTATCTACATGCGACATCAATAAATATCGAATATACACACAACATAATACACACAAAAGACATCGAAAGCGTTGCGTAACGAATTCTCGTCATTTAAAACGTTAAACGAATCGTTAATTAAATCGGAATGACGATTATATTATATAGATCGAAAGACGATGATTTGTCAACGGTAGAGGCGTGTGGAATATTAAGAAACTATCCAAACGAGCTGAATTTTCTATTTAGTTAATTCAACGGGCACCGCTATAAAGGGTCATGGTCGTGTGCATCTCGCGAGTCGACTCTTGAGATGTCTTCTTTCGATCCGCATAAAACTTTCATGAGGATGGGCACTAATTAAAGACAAGGAAAGAGAGAGAGAGAGAGAGAGAGAGAGAGAGAGAGAGAGAGAGAGAGAGAGAGAGAGA